AGATCATCGTTGGCAAGTTTGCCCGCTTGGGGAAGCCCGTACATGCCCTTCTTGACTTTGCAGTAAACAAAGCCTTTGTGGATCTTGTCATGGAGGTGGTATAGGTCAATTATCTTTTTGGATAGTACGCTGACAGGGATGCGGACATATTCGGGTTCCGGGAGATCGGTCTCAAGGTAGAAGTCCTTGAGATCAATGGTGGCGAAGCGGGCGCCTGGGGTGCTGATGGTGCTGTTGAGAAGGATCTTGATGGTTTGGATGTCGGCAGTTTTGGTGGTCTTGTTACCAAGGTAGACGATCTTGTCGCCGCCCAATGTGTATCGGACGCGGTGGACTTGGGCCTTTTCTGGGCGATCGGCACATACAATGCGAACATATGTGACAACTTTGTCTTTGGGGATGTCACGGCGGTGAATGAATTCCAGGGTTTGTGTTCCTGTAGGCATGTGGGATTTTGGTCCGAGTCCAGTGCACATGCGTCCCATTTCTTCATCGTTGGCGTCGCTCCATTCGTGGCCGGCTGACGACTTGAGGAGCTCAGGGTATTCGGCCACTTTGCCTGTGTCAGGATTGATGGCTGTGCCATGGAGGCAGTAGTGGGGGTCAGTTAGAGGGGTGAAGCTACTTGCATTGGCTTGGACGGATTTCTTGTAGGTTGGTTTGGTGGTACGAGTGCTGCGGCGTTTGGGTGCTAGGACCATGGGTTTGGAACGTGGTGCTTTTTGTTGCATGTTTTGTTTGGTCTGGTTGGTGAGTCGTCGTGCTTTTCGTTTTGTGGCCCTGACTGCGGGGCTTGTGAGGGCACCGTATGTTGGAGTTGGCCAACTTTCTTTGGGAAATAGTCGAGGCGTGGTGGCAATAGCAGGGTCATTGGCTGGTGGGGTCCACTGGACAGTTTTGGGTGTTGTAGGTTCAATGTCTGGTGGAATGAGTGTGGGTGCATTGGTGGGTGCATCGGCCCGATTGTCATTGTTGGGGACGGGTCGGATGGAATGGGTGTCGTCCTGTAGATCATGGTGTTTTAAGGCAGGTGGAGGGGAAGACACTGGAATAGGGAGCTGGGTTGCAGGTGCGGTAGTGGTTTGGTTTTCCTTCGGCACCCTTAGAAGTGGCGCAGGAGGTTCCCGTGGTAGTTGAACGTTTTCGATCACTTCAACGAGGTGGCGTAATGCTTCTGTCATTGAATCACTGCGGGGAGCAATGGGAGTACGTGGGCTGGGATGAAGTAGGGCATGCTTGATATCTTGTAGGGCTGACATAATGATGGCGTTGGAGGAGCTGTCAGGCATGCGGACTTTTGTGGGGAACCAGGTGACAGTGTCGCAGATGCGAATAGCGCGAGTGTCGTAAATCCAGATGCGGTAGCACCGGTAGGAATCCATGGCAGGACCGACATACCATCCGTCGAGACCATGTGGCGCCCAGGTTTGTCGTGTAGCAGGTTTTTCGTGTGCGAGGACGCGACATCCCGGGGGGCCCATTGGCGTTCTGTTGTAGTCGAACTGTCCACAAATTTGAGCGTACGCCGAGAGCTTGGGATTTAGTCGAGAGGCGCGCATCAAATTCAATGTGATTTCAGCTTGCGGAAGGATCTGGTCCCACAGGTGGATGGGGAAATCTTTATCAGTGCTGCACAGGCCGGCGATGAAGTGGTTTTGGAAGGTGCGGATGGCTCGTTCGGCTGAGTTGCGACGGTGCATTCCAGGAGGAACTAATTGGAAGTCGATTTCAGATGCGTGGAGAAAATTCTTGAGGATAGTGGAACATTCGTTGTCAAGTCGTTGCAGTTGTGGTTTGAGCCCTGCTAGGCATAGTCGTTGATGGAGGCGCTGATAGGCTTTGAGGATGGTGGCGGCTTGACGGTTGGGGAATGGCTCGGCAAAAATGTGGTTGCTGTCATAGTCGTATAGGATCATAATGTAGTTGTTGCCAGTTGATGATGGTGAGACAAATTTTCCGGTTTGATCAGTGTAGACTTGGCCCGTAGCTGCGAAGAATGTAGCATAGCATTGATGTGTGCGTGCAGTGATGTGGTTTGGTTGGAGGTCATCATCTTCGGCATGGATTGGTGGGTTGGTGTCGTCATTGGGAATGATCGTTGGTTTGGTTTTTGTGGATCGGAGGTTCTGTCTGGTCTGGTCTTGGTGTCCTTTGGCCGTGGCAATAGATTGGGGTGGGTTGCGTCGGAGACCGGCCGTAGTTAATCCTGGAAAGTTTGTCAGGAAGTTATTGCGGAGAGCAAATTCGATTCTCGAGAGGACTGGAGAGAATAGAGTGGCATGGGCATAGGCGATGAGATCAGCTTCAGTTGGGTCGCCAATTTTGTTAGCGGAGTGGATCTGGATCTGGGCAGGCCCGGTAGCCTGTGATGGTATGTGCCACAGGTTGCTTGCTGGGTCGCGCTGGCCTTGTAGGACGACTTGATTGGATTGGCTGTCGATAATTTGGACATCTGCGTTGGTGAAGAGAACTTGGTATCCAGCGTGGCAGAGGCTGGCGACCGAGATCAGTGTGGCAGCAAGGGAAGGGACTATATGGCCTTGTCGTGCGTGAGGGCGAAGCATGGGCAAGTCCAGATCGGCGGTATGGGTTGAGTGAATGATGCTTCGATCGGCGAGTGCCACAGCAATGGGGTTGGTTGCAAGTTGTTTGTTGGTAGTTCTGCTGTTGGTAGCAATGAAGGTGGCAGTGGCTCCGGAGTCGATGATTGCGGGGGGACCGGAAGTTGTTGTAGTAGTTGTAGGGGTGGTAGGTTGACCTAGTGTTTTAGCTACAAGTCTATTAGCTTTCGGCTCCCCGCGTCCTCAAGTGGAAGCGGGTCGAGTCTCGCCGTCGTTGGTGCTTTGTTGGTAGCGGTTGGTACGGTTGGTGAGTGTATCGAATGAGGTGCTGCCGCCGTATCGGCGGTATATGGTGGCTTGCTTCATATGGCCTTCTGTTGGTTCAGTGCAATTCTTGCTGGTGTGGTTGGCTTTGCCTTTTGTGAGACCATGGGTCCAGCAATATAAGAATTCGGGCTTTGCTTTTTGTTGTTGGGACGGTGGTGTGGCATTAGCATTGTTGCAACGGTGGCATAGGGGTGGTGGGGTATTCTCGTTGTTGGCTGGGTTGGTATGTGGCGTCAGGACAGGGGTGCCAGTGGCTGTGTAGAGTACATGGTTGGCGCCATGGAAGCCAGCTTGCTTTGCAGTTTTGAGACCTTCAAGGCGCGCTTCTTCGTAGAGGAGGAAGTGGGGTTCGAAGTTGGTCCAAGTGCGGTCGGTGAGTGCTTTGGTGTCCCAGGTTAAGATGGCCTGTCCGTAGACTCCAGCTCCTTCGAATGCACTGCGGCACAATGTGACAGTCGCGTCGTCAGAGATGGCAGATCCATTTCTGGTGGCAATGGCACGGACTTGAGTGACTTTGTTGAAGAAGTGTTCAATAGGTTGGTCCGGATTCCATTTCTCCTTGAGGCGATCACGGTTGGCTTCCAATTCGGCGGGTTTCATGGTGCCGTATTTGGTCTGGAGGTGTGTGAACATGGTCAAGGTGGAAATGTTGGCATAGCCCATGTGTTGATCCTTGAGCGATGCAATGTAGATGTCGTCAACGGCTCCGATTAGTAGTTGTTTTAAACTATTGACCAATGTGATGTAGGTGGTATAGGTGCGGAGGTTATTTTCGTAGGCTCGGTTGTTGTTGGTGATTTGGACTGCAGTTTCATTGGTTGGGACCGGTGGATCGCCTGGATGGATTGGGGAGTTGAAGGCGATAGGTTGGTTGCTGTAGGTTAGGTAGTCGGGCGCCGTGGTGACTGCTCCAAGTAGTCCATGAGCGCCGCCGCCAGAGGTGGAGGGTACGGACATCGCGTTGGCGAACATTTCTTGGCGGAGTGTGGTGATGGCTTCGACTGTTGGTTTTCCGATGATTTTGGTGAATTCCTTGTGAGGGAAGCTGGGATGGGAGGAGACATCGGTGGAGGTCATGGTGTTAGTGGTCGGCGGATGCCGGGTGCTTGAAAAGATCTAGCAATACTATTGAAGGGACGTCTTGCTATGATGTGGATAACGTGTATTGCTAGATTGTGTGCTGTTATGATGGTGTCGCAATATAGCGTTGGACGCGTAATGCTGGCTGGCGTCAACTGTCGGTGCAACGGATGTAACGGGATATGTTTGGCACGCTCCCGTGGAATGAGGCAGTGGGAATCCCCGGATTTCTCCCCTAGTTGCGAGATTTTCCCACAGCTCAATTTTTCCCACAGCTCAATTTTTCCCACAACTCAATTTTGCTTCCCACAACTAGTTGTGGGAATTCCCTCAACAGTTGTGGGAAAATTGTCATTTCTACACAGAAAACCACGTAGGATATGTACTGAGACAAATTTGAAGTTTCCCACAACTCTAATTGTAGTTGTGGGAAGTTTCCCACAACTCTAATTGTTTTATTGGGAATTATGGGAAAACTGTCCGTTCTACGGAAAACTGTCTGTTCTACGCACAAAACAACGTTTGATATATGTACTGACTAGAAAATAGACAACTACATATGATGTTTCCCAAAAACTCTAATTGTTTTCGTGATATTTCGTGATACATTTAAAGGCAAAAATAACGGACATCTGAGCAACGGAAATTCCCACAACTAGTTGAGGGAAATTCCCACAACTAGTTGTAGGAATTTCCCACAACTATTTTTTAAGATTCCTACAACTAGTTGTGGGAATTTTTGGCAAAAATCTGTTCCCACAACTAGTTGTGGGAAATCGCGTTAAATATCGCGGGGACGAAATAAAATGAAAAGGGGGAATTCCCACTGCCTCAATAGGGAATAACATATATATCTTCTTCTCATACACCTTTTTCCACCGCAATGTGATCATAATAGTATTATTTCATTTATCGAAGATAGCCAATTGGCAACTCCAACTTACAATATTGCTAGAAGAAAATGGAGAAGACTTGCAGGTGTTTGAGAGCGATAAAAATGTGAGAACACTCAAAAAGCAGGGATTATTGTCGATGAAAGCAAAAGGCGATTTGGAAAAGGCGGCACAACTCTTCCAACTTGCACTGGATCTTTATCACGAAGATCTTTATCACGAAACTTCTGTTATCCATCAGACTGCAACAGCAGCCTACTACGAGAATCTTTCGGCTTTCAAAGCTGATCTTGGGTTGTTGGAAGATGCCATAGCTGCGAGTGCAGAAGCACTGAAGATTCGTCGAAGAACTTTCGGTGACAAAGATGCGGACACGAAGCGACGCATGGAAGTGCATAGATCTTTGCTGAAAAACTTATTCGGGATATCCTAGTTTGTCATTTCTACTGAAGCAGATAGACTGCCACGAGTGTTAGCTACATCGTACCAGCAAAACACCAAGCCATTCTGTAAAGTTTCAACACATTTATTGATTATACCTCTATTGTTCCATAGTTTTTGATTTTCTTAGCAACAACGACAAAATTTACTCATCCTTCTTTTCAATGCCAGTGGAGTATTCCAAATAACCATCAGCCAACTTGTTGTAAGACTCGGTGGCCTTGTTGGCCAAATCCTTTGCACCATCGATGGCGGCCGAGATCTTGGCGGCAGTTTCTTGTCGGTCCTTTTCAGTTGGCATGCCCAGAGCCAAGTTTTGCAATAAGGCATCACCTTCGCTGCTCTTTGATATTTGAAGAATGTATTGGTCGCTGTTCTCAACCTTGTAGACGGCGTTGAAGAAAGTGTACCCAGCAACCAAGGCAGGAAGAAGAAGGTTGGGGTGGAAGAACATGGAGTTTTCGACAATGGCATGTCCAGTGAGGGCTTCCCATGCGGCGAATGCGGTGATACCCAACATGGCGGAACGTCCATGGCTAATTTCAACTTCTCTCAATCCCTTGCGAGCCTTGGCGTCGTCACCGACCGACTTGTACAATTCCAAAGGATCAAAGTCGTAGTCTCCGGCGACACCCAAGTCCCAGACTTCGGACATGTCGGAACGGTGCTGCTTGCCGAGCTTGGTGACAAGCTGAGATCGCAAGGACGTCTTGTATTCCAAGTAACCAATTCCACCGAAAACGGCAACAGTGGCAATGAAGGTGATGGGGCTGAATCCGTTCAAGACAGATGGAGCACAGCCGCCGGGTTGCAACAACCACTTGGGGCCAAGGAGTTCGGCCATGGGCCATCCGATAACGGCCAACATGGCTAGACGGGCGTGACGAACTTCAGCCTCTTGCATGGTGTACAAATCGAATTGTTCGGAAAGACCAAGAGGGTCGAATCCAAAGTCTCCGGCGTGAGTTCCATCCAACTTGTTGGGTCTTTTCAACATGGGCAAGGCAATCGACATGCAGCCTTCTGGGTATCGGCCACTGCATGATGATTAATGGGTGTATTTGATGGGTTGGGTGTTTTGTTGGTGGATGGAATTGTTGGTCGAAGTTTGTGCACGAGATGAGAACACGATTAATAAAAAATTTCAGAGAATGATGACAGAGAAATGAGAGTGAGTCAAATTGAATTGCAACAACTCGAAAAGACAAGAGACTGCAAACTCCGAGCCACTCGAAAGACGTGTCCAAAGTGTGGTAGTCGCAATCTCAACATTCATTCTCTACATTCATTCATTCATCCAGCCTCCTCCAAAATTAACAAAAACTACTTACGGCATAATCACATCCTTAGGTTCTTCAGCAGCAACTGGGACTTCGACCTTCTTTTCCTCAGCAGCGGGATCAACTGGAAGATCAACGGGGACAGAGGCGGCAGCTGGTTCCGCAACGGCGGGTTCGGCAGCACTACTTTCCTCAGGAGTTCCATTGACGGCTTCGGTGGCAGCCTCAATGGGAGAGGAGAACATGGCCACATTGGAAGGAATGCGGCTAGCTGAAGGAGCAAAAGCGGCAGCTCCGGAAAGAGTCAAAGTCAAAACAAGGGCAGAGAACTTCATCTTTACAAAATTGGAATGGAAATCGAGCTTGTATGGAACGAGGTATTGGAAGAAGATCGTACAAGTTGAACTCTCTCAAAATACGTGGTTTGGTAGTTTTTTTCGAATGTTTCCTATTGATGGGTGCGTGTGTGCTTGCGTGAAAAAGGATTCGGTGGACCCGAACTCATTCATTTTCTACGCTTGGACCACGTGCGGCTGGTAGGATGCATGTGGTGATGACGTGGATAGTGAGCAACCTTTCTCTCTCTTCTTTCCACCTGGAAACTCTTCTTGTCGGACGAAAACAGAACGGTTTTGAAGTCGATAGAGTCAATCTAAAACCAATACAGCCACGATGGTGGGAGATAATCTCTGTGTTATAGATCTATTTATACATGTGTAATCAAAACTACTTTACTAAATGTACATCATGCTCTATTAGCTAGCTACTACGGGTTGGGCTACCGTGTTATCTCCAACAGAACGTGCTTCCGAGACTCGGCCCTCTCCTTCATGTAGTAGCTAGTAGTAGTAGTAGCTACTTCTTGCTAGCATATATCATATGGCATGCAACGTCACTTAATGACTAGTGAACAAGGAATCTTGTGGTTTATCCCATTCCAGGCAAGAGCTAAAGAATTGCTCACAGACAAACTTTTCATTGACACGTTCTGCTGGTGGCTCGGTAAGGCCCAAGGCCCAATGTGAAAGGTTTTCCAATCGCAAACAACAATTCCGCCACAGTGTGGCATTGTGGAAAGGGCCGCCGCATGCCTTTTTGCGGATGATATATGCGCAAGGTTTTCCCATAATAGTCTCAAGCCCAACGACTCTTTTGTTGTTGTTGGGTAGCCATGTCATTGAGAATCCAGCATGGGTAAACGCTGACTGGATTCGTACATGCAAAAAGCAGTTGCAATCTGCATCATCGCCAAGCCCTTGTTCATCTTGTACGGGTCATCGTAGAAGCTAGTAGTACCATGAAAATGCCAATGCTGGGAAAACAGGTACAACCATTGAGATTAACAAAGGAGGACGTGAAATTGTAGGGAAATGGTGGTTATGGTTGCTTCTTCTTCTTATTGGTGATTTGGTGATCATGCAGGAAAGGGTCAATAGCAGTAACAATAATTGTTTCCAGTTTCTACTTCATTATCGCCCATTTGTGAGCAGCCGAGAGTTTCACAACAATCGGTGTCCGTGTCACAGGGACCACCACTCTCCGAACAATGAGCTTCTGCAAAACTTGGTTTTTGCTTTTGATCAGCTCCCCTTTCCATCGTTGCTGTTGCTGCTTGCAAACCAGCCAAAGCCGCAGCTTCCGCTCGAGGAGAAGTTCCGTCGGAAGATGATGGTGAATTCGTTGGTCGTCCCTTCGAAACAGTAGATTTCACTGGTGACGGATCTTCATCTTCATCATCATATTCCATAACAATCATTCGAGTATTACTCATTGTCGGATGGTGGCAGTATCTGCTGTGCCCCGTTTCCACTTCATCATCGCCCATCGTTATTTGTGAGCAGACGAGATCTCCAAAACAGTCGCTGTCGTACTCACAAAATAAAAAATTGGAGGTGCCCATTCCTCTCATCATTATAGTTATTGGGCATGCAGGATGCTTCGTCGCAGGAAATAAACAACTGATTAGTCATAAAGTAATGCACAGTGGAGGCGGTGGCAAGGACCAAGAACACCAGTAGCGGTAAGGACAAATGTCTTGTTCGCTTATTGTTCTTCGTCGTAGTAGTACGTGTACTACCATCAGTACTATCAATACTACGTTGAAAAACGGCCAGCAGCAGCATGATGTATAGTATATATGGTTTCTTGCTTCTTGCTTCTTGCTTCTTGCTTCTTGTTTATACGGTATACTGTATACTGTATATTAGTTACGCGCTCTCGTCCTTAGAGCAGACACACAGTAATGTCGGGACGTTGGTACTTTTGATGATAGATGAAGGAACGAAAGGAAGCGCTTTATTCTGTTGTTGTTTTGTCAGTTTCTGAGGTATATGACTTGAAATGAAGTCGGATTACAATAATACCGCATAGGTACAGCTGATGATTCATTTGAAGATTCATCATCTTTTATAAAATTATTACGCGACATCTCGAGCGACGATAATAGAGAGACTCTCAAAAGAATGGCGTATTTGAAGTCAGATTGATCGACGATTGAAGCGGTCATCCTGAATTCATGGCATAAAATGCGATGATCCTGGCAAATATAGGTAATATGCTCAAATACGCTCCACATTTTAAAAATGATCCATTCCACCGTGCTAGTTGACACCAACTACAATTGTACAAGACCTTCTATCAAATTGCGGATGCTGAGCTCCATTGAGACCAAGTAGTTCTCGAAGCCCAGGTTTTGCATTACATGAATATAAAACAGAGGGGATCGCTGGGCTGAAAAGAGTAGAAGATTTCTTAATATAAGCAGTTTAGTTATCCTCCAGCTCACTGTACAGTATGAGTATGGTGTCAAAAGATTGTTGCTTTTATAAAACGTTTCATTTGCATGTCGATCAGCCCACTCGTGTAGTAGCTAGTACAGAATGAGCTAGTACCTATCTCCTTAACTAAAATCATCCTCGTTCTTCTTGTCGTCGTGCTGGTTCTCCTTGACTTTCGCCCGTCCTCCTCCTCTATATGATATCCGCTGACACTTGTCCAATCGGCATGGAATCTTGTGGAATGTCCCATTCGGGACAAGATGAAAAGAATTGTTGACAGACAAACTTTTCATTCCCCGGTTCTGGTGGTTCGGCAATGTGGAAGGTATTCCCATCGCAAATCCCACCCCATTGTGGGAGTGTGGAACAAAAATGCAAGACGGCCATTCCTTTTTGTGGATGGATCCTTAGAGTTTTCCCATAGTCCCAATCCCAAGGACTATGGTCCGGCCTCCATCGAGAATCCATGGGCGCCGGATTCTTGTAAAAACTAGTGTCATCGTTATCATCAGTAGTAGTAGTAGTAGTAGTTGTTGTTGTTGTTGTTGTTGCTGTTGCTGTTGCTGTTGTTGCTGTTGTTGTTGCTGTTGCTGTTGTTGTTGCTGTTGTTGTAGTAGCATGAATGCCAATGTTGGGAAAACAAGTGCATCCACCACCACTCGCCACGACGTCATTCAAATACACAAAGGCCGTCATGAAATTGTTGTGGAGCGGTAGATTCTTGGTGGACATGCATCCTTGTGTGGGTCGTTTGGAGTCTCCAAAAAAGTCTTGATCCTGCACCCATCCTTGGCTAATGGGCGCATATTCGGTAGGCCAAGCATCCGTGTGTTTGGAAAAGGTCTGGCCCTCTTGATATCTAGAAACCTTGAGGTATTGGAGCTGCCGTTTGTCTTGTATGCAAGTGAGTTGAGCCATTTTGTGGCGCAAGCTTGGGACTTCGGCATTCTCACAAACAATTCCCGAAGAGGTTCGTTCGACACTGCCGCCTCCAATTTGTGGTCTCAGATTGTTGTTGTTTTTACCATTGTTATTGTTTCCATGATTGCCATGATTGCCATGATGATTGGAGGGCGGTGGTTGGACTGCCTTGGCAATCAGTCGATCGCATTCGTCGTCTGTAAAGAAATCATTGACAATAAAAATGTAAGGTTCTTCGTGTATCAATTGGAGACCAGGATAATCCAGATTGATCTTGTGAAAGTACGGATTGGCAATGTAATTGTCAAAGGGAAAGTCGGGGTATCTGTCATTCTTTTGCGGATGTTGTGATGCTAACACTGGGGGTGTTGTTGTCTGATGGTGATACTGATCCTGATCCTGATCCTGAAACTCATACTGTGTTCATTTGTTCTTGTAGATTGAGACGAGGAGGAGGAGGAGGAGGAGGGTATTCTCCTGCTGGATATCCTTGTCGTCGTCGTCGTCGTCGTCGATAGGGCGCTGGTTGGAGTTGCGGCGAAAACGTGGCTGGAAAAGAAAAAGAAGAGAAGTTTCCTTTTGGCCTTCATTTTGTCAATTTGCGATCGCTTGTGTACTATGACAGAGGAGTGACGATGCGCAGTCATGATAATATGATACTGTGGGAGATTGCACGCAATACTGTACAGTATACAGTATTATAATACTGTATACTGTATACTCTACAATACGAATAAAAGCAAGATGAAGCTTTCCACACATGGCACATGCATACGTATGTCCACCGTAATTTCAAATTGGGACTGTTTTAGTAGCTGTATAGTGTTCGCTCGTGCGTCACACGGGTAATCGTATCAAACGATCTTCCGAGCCGAAATTCGGTTTGGGTCTTGTCGCGATTGTTGGAGGGAACTTCAAATATTACCAACGATGTATGACATATGCAAAGCGTGGTCGGCGTTCGGTTTCGGAAGTTTTACACGAATGAAAAAGCCGATCGATTAGACCCACCTGATCCCTCCCACGAGTGACTTTCAACTTTTGTTCTCCAAGTTCCTCATACCAAGATATACCGGTATTATATTATAATTATTACAGACAAAAGACAACGAGATGGCTCAGCAACAGAAGCAACAACGACAGCAACAACAACGACAACAACACGCTCCACGTAGAACCAGCACCTCTTCAGACAATGGAACCAATTCAAGCGGTTCATCGTCCGCCTTTGATGTCCTTCAAAAACTCTTTCTAGACCCGATTTCCGCCTGTTATGCTGAAGATGCGTACAACATGGTAGAAGATTCCAATACCAAAGAATGGTCGATTGAAAGTAGCTCCGCTGGCATCAAGAGTCCCAGCAGAAGCTTGGATTCGTATTATTATGGTGAAGAAGGAGAGCAAGAGGAAGATGAAGACGAAGATGATTTGCCACTGAATGGATTGATTGACGAATCCATGAGTCACACCAAATCCATCAAGTCTTCTAGAACTTCCAGCACCAAAAGTTCGGCTTCTTCCACCGAAATGGCACGAGAACACAGTTCGTCCTCCCGACACAGCAGTGCTTATGGGATTCCCATATTACGGGATTTGCCATCCTTTCCTACATCCAGTCACTCAAATGCTAGCGGTTTCAGCAGTCCTGCACGATACAACATTTCGACTAGCCGGTCGATGGCAAGCGAAGTATCTTCACTCATGTCCGAATACGAGACCAAACTTCCCAATATCAATACCATGCGAAAACCCATCAATCCTGCCATGCTTCCATAAAAAAATATGAGAAAAAAGGGGGATTGGATGATGTATTGCAATGATTGGTTTCATGATTTTGGGTTAAAAAATGGGGTGTTTGCATAGTGCATAATAGTAGGTTTGTGGTTTATCAGTTACTTTCATTTCAAAGTATTATAATAAATACATTAGATATATACCTACATCTAGAGGTTCTGTATACCGGAGTATATACTCACACCAGCCTTTCATCTCTGGTGTTTGACTGTCAGACTGCTTGCCTGACTCTTGAGGAAAAGTAATGAACTGAGAACCGTGCACGTACATGTACCTCCTCTTGGCGAAAACTATCCTGTGGTGCAGCTCCCTCCCACCTTTTCACATTATTTCTCCACTATCATCATGATAGCGGTACTACACATCGCCGCACCCGTATTCAAAGCACCTAGCGATTGTTTGTTTCTTTGTTTCTTTGTTTGTTTGTTTGGGTATATGCATTGCTCTTTCTTGGAACGTACCAAGTAGTGAATTATGAAGACTAATATATGTACAGTAGAGTTCGGTTTCCAAAATACTAACCGTTATTTTAATATAATATTGCTTGTATACACAAGAACAGCGATCGAAGCTATCCCTTAACGCTTCGATTTTATCCGATATATTATATCGGATATAAAAAAAATTACGCACTACTATTTACACCATACTACTACAATAATAAGCATTAAAATGATCATTACAAAGGGACAAATCTAAATATGAATACTTCCTAGCAGGTACAGTAAGCTTAGTTGTCGCTGTAGCTCCATTTTGCTTCTCCAGAGCCTTCTGATAAGCGAAATCGGCCACATGGAGTTGCTCATTTCCTTTCTTGATAGCAACAGTGTGCTTTTACTGTTTTCTACTGAATCTAGGCGCAGGAAGCCATGGCTTAGATGTGGCAATCATTCTAAACGTCTTCATTGGTGCTCCGCTTGGTATATTGTCACATAATGCGTTGGCCATGTAACTCTGCCACAACGCAATTGCCAACAGCCTACTTTGCAGGATTGACAGCCATGCAAATACAGTTACACACTGCAATCAACACTAGAATCACTTTCGAATGACTATCCTTCACCCTTGAAGGTGCTGGCCTTTGTCTTGCATGACTATTTACATTCGGGATGACGAGCAACATACTCAGATTTTTTTGGTCCATCAGACCACCAAATTGAGCCGCATGGTCCTCTCCCATGCCTATTGCACCTTCTGATAGGGCCGAGAAGTGCCATTGTGATAATACATATCAATGGCAAATGGTAGGGTGGAAGAATATGCCGTCTTCATGACCTGACGAGACAGTTTTGTGTTGGTGTCAGTTTTGGGGCAAATGGGTCTGTCCGACTTCGGAGGTTCATCCTTGTTTCTGTGATGGGCTGAGATATAACATGTAGCATACCGATGAATTCCTTATTTCACTGGCAATAAACTTATTCATGGCTGTAAAAGGTGTATTTGTACGTGGCGGAAGTTATTGCGTGAAATGTGTGGAATTTTTTTTTATCCGATATATTATATCGTCTAAAGCGTTAAGGGATATATATAGCTTAGTGTTATTAATATTAGTCTTGAGGGATCAACCACCTCATGTGTACACAATTAGAAAAGAGAGAAAGCCTCAAACGGACAATAAGAATAATGATAATAATGATGATGATAGTCTACTACTCTAGTATGATTACAACGTGCTTGTGATTGTGATTGTGCTTGCTGGTCGGATGGGATCATTGAAAGGTAGTGGTCATTGGATGATGGTGAGTGAGTGATTCCATGGCCCATTCTGCTTCGTTTAGTTCTGCTGCCATGATTCGATCATAATATGGCTACTTATTTACTACCATCGCTTCCATGATTGTGCATACTAGCTGGATATTCGTCCAACGAGAAATCACTGTTCTTCGAGGACTTATGGTGTGGCTGTGTATTGCTGGCGACCTCAATATGGTAGCCATCAGGGCCAGCAGGAGCCCGCGTATGCAGCAAAAGGCACAAAGAGTGTAGGAAAGAACTTTATGCAACAAGAACCCAATATGCACCAATCCATCCTTCTTTCCTTTTCTTTGCCCACCAACACCAACACCAACAACAAACAACAAACAAAATTAGGAACTAATACTCCTATTACTCTTCCCACGAGTAATGTAGATTTCAATGACATGATGCTTGTCATCAGCATTCCTCAAGACTTGTTTCATTGGTTCGACATTCCCAGTAGCCTCCAATCGTTCAATAAAGTTTTCCAATCCATCCCCATTGCGTCGTTCCACACTGGTCACCAACAAGGTATTGGGACTTGCCTTGGCCATGACTCCCAAAATATCGGCCAAGGCTTCCCACGAATCCCGACCATACAAGGGTTCATAGACACAATCGCAATTGAGACAAATGTCAAACTTGTCTTCGCCGTCACCATCACATTCTTCCAACAACTTTGTCAATCCTTCCTTGGACCAACTCAATGGCTTGGCTTGAATCATGTTCTTCTTCTTCTTAGTATTATTGTTGTTGTTATTGTTGTTGGTGTTGGTGTTGGCCTCGGAGGAAGCTGGAAAATTGTGCTCCACATTCTCTTGCAATTGTGACACTAGGGATGGTTGATCTGTTAATACAACCTTGTTTTGTTCCTTGTGCAACAAATGCCAGACCATTCCAGGAACACCCAATCCACAACCCAATTCCAGCATGGATTTATCGCCATCAGTAGTATGGCGATGATGTTCCCACAAGTATTCCACCGCCAAGACGGCCGCCTTCCATACGCGAGTGCCAGCCCATTGGGTACCATTAAAGAGGGGAGCAATGTTATCTTCTTCCAATTTGGTCGATATTGTCAAGGCCCTCGAACTTCCTGGCCAATTGACAACGACGCCAGTTTCTACCATGTTTTCCCATTTGGATTCAATGAAATCAAATTCGTCGTCGTCGTCGTCGTCGTCACTGCTGGAGCTGCTGTCGTCATCGGCAGTATTTGTATCGTCCACCTCATCGTTTAGTTGGTTCTTGTTGGATGTTATTGTCACAGTTTCACTATACATGTTCAACTCTTCTTCTTCTTCCTCTTGTTGTTGTTGGTGTTGTATGGATGACATGATCTTGGTGTTGTCGTTATGCTGTGTATTGTGTTGTTGCGAATACAATATAATACGCTTTAAGATTCGATTCGTCCTGTCAAATTTTGAAATCGATATTTTTGATTGATGGATTGCAATGATGATGGCGATGATGGTTGGACGGACGTTATCCTCCGCTTCTCTGTTCTCTGATTATCACAAATGCCAAGATTATCAAGTATAGTAGTAGTAGTACTGTAGCCTTCCGGTACCAAACAAAAGAGAGATAAAAGACACTTGATGCGTATGCTGAAAAACAACCCTTTGATGTTACATTTAGATACCCAAGGAAGGGTTGCGCATATTCTATTTGTGCTCTGTAGTTAGCACCAGCAGTCGCCATTGCTTTTTTCCTTCCAAACAGCACCTTCTTCCTTCCATTGTTCTTTGCATCATTATCGTCAAGCAAGCCGCAGAAACTACTATTATGATGGCGCTCTTTGTCATTCATTCTCAGAGTACCAACCAATATAATTTCTACAAGCGAACCGTCATTCATTGCAAACGGTGGAATGAGTCTGTCTGTCTGTCTGTCTGTTTGTCAAATTAGCAACCGCAACTATATATCGTGGTCGCTGTCCTCCTAACTGCTAGTAGGACCAAGTACTACGGTACTAATACACTCGACTCACAGCCTTTTCCAAATACTTTTGATGGTATTCTTCTGCCTTGTAAAAGTCAGAGGCATCTTCGATGGCCACATAGGTTGCCAATTTGCCACCAATCGTTTCTTCCAAGAACTTGGTGGCCCTCTCGCGCTGTTCTCCATTGTACACAAAAATGGCCGAACGGTATTGAGTGCCAGCCCAGCGAGGATCGGCAGGAGTGTGATAGTTGAACATGAGATTCAACAAGTCATTGTAGGAAATGATGGATGGATCGTACCGAATACGAATCGACTCGGCGTCTGTAGGACCATGATAATAATAATAATTATTAATAAAATAATAATGAGGATGAGAAGACAATAAATCAGAGGATGACAATCATGTCATACGACAGATGGACTTACAATCCTGTACATTTTGATAGGTTGGATTCAAATTTTCCTTTGGCCTGGAAGAACCACTGTATCCTACGACACTCTCCAAAATGCCCTCGACGAGATCAAAGTCTCGTTGAGGGCCCCAAAATCATCCCATGGCGGCCTCAAAGATGACGTCCGGATTTTCGGGGGCCTCCAAGAGTGGGCAGATTACGGATGGATCATTCTCATTCGTCATTTCTCGACTACTAAATGATACTCCCAAGGATGACGAGGATGCAGAGGAAGTATTAATAGCTGTTCGTTGAGCTTGAGGTAACGAGAAGGCAGCAGCTGTTCCAGAGATGGTTTTATCAAATGCCAGCAGTACAAAGAGTGAAAGCAAAGTACCAACCGACGATGGCATGTTGGCGCTTCGCGTACTCGTTGTCGTTGTCGTTGTCTTTGTCTTCGTTGTTGTGATTGTGTTCACAGCTGGTGAAGAATATAAACACGTGTTTTAGGTGCGGTTGAGTTCTGAGTTCTGAGGGATAGTCATGTGCCAACCCCCTTTTCAGTTTGTCTTCCCTTTTTGTTTGCCATCACAATGACTGTTTGCCATGTCCGCGCGAGCAAACATGTCCAATGGATCATCGACTAATGACAAAAAGCATGAACACACATAGAATAGAAACAAAATATTAGCCACAAGGTTATAAGTACGAAAATTGAAGCAGTTTGTGGGCTTCGGAGGTGTGACCCTGAATCTTTTTGGGATGTCCCTTTGTTTGTTTGTTTGATCCACACACAATCGCTGCATATATAATACCGCAACGAGCACAATAATAATAGAAGTGAGAGCAATAGAATATAGGTAGGTACATCAGATTCTACCATACTGCCTATTCCTATTCAAGACATTGCATAGAGAGCAACTGCAGTAACCAGCGAGTGAAAAAGATACTTTCTCAGCTGAAACGACATCAGTCATCAGATAATAATACAGTAGTACCTGAAACTATTTCCCAAACGACCTCTACCATCACAATAACCCATAACTGCCGATCAGAACAAGTGACGCAAAATCACACAACAACAAAGATGGGTGAAGAAGATGCCGACGGAAACACTTTGGTGAAAGGAAAAAAGAAGGTAAAAAAGACGGATGGTGAGATGAAAAAGACCAAAAAGACCAAAAAAGAAAATAAGGACAAACCGAAGAAACACAAATCCTCCAAATCGCTAATGGCATCCGGCAACAACGACGACGGTGAAGCCATGCTGTCACCCAAAAAGCACAAAAAGAAGGATAGCTCCTACCGTAAATTGACAGAAGCCCAAGCCTTGCCAGATGTGGGAGGATCCTCTCCTGGGGTCCTCTCTCGCAAGAAGATTGATGCCGAAAAGGTCAAGAAGAAGTTGAAATCCAAGACCGGCAAGGTCAAAAAAAAGAAACCCAAGGCCAAGAAAGCTGCTGAGGAACAAGGAGAAGAAGGTACCAAGAAAGATACCGCGGTGGCGACTCCTGCTGGAGATGGAGAGGAACCCAAACACCATACTCTGGAAGTTCTGCAAAAGAAATTGGAAAAGACCGAACGCATGTTGCAAGAAACGGATCCATCCTCGGGATTGTACCAAAAGCTCCAAGTCAAGCAACAACAATACATTCAAGAACTCAAAGAAATGGGAGTCGAACAGCAACACGAGGAGAATGATGGTCAACTCGGTGAAATGGGCCTCAACGATGATGACGATGACGATGACGAGAGTGGCGGTGAAATGGGCCTGAATGACGATAGTGACAATGGCGGAGAATACTATGGCGAAATGGGCCTCAATGATGACGATGATGAAGGTTATGGTGAAATGGGCCTCAATGACGATGATGACGATGAAGATGGCCCCAGAAGCAAGCGATCCGGATCCAATGCTTCCAATCCAGCGTGGTCTCGATCCTTTCGGGCCCTCAAGGAAAAGGAAAAGAGACGACAGGACAGTTTGGGACGGCATCAAGAACGTAAAAAATCCATGCGGAATTCTCTTAAGGAAAATAAATCCATCAAGAAGAGAACTCGTGGAGTTCGTCAAGCATTGAAAGGGGGCGAGGACTTTGAAGTACCAGTCTTTCAAAAGACACACGAGGAAACCCAGTTTCTCAAGGAATCGCTACGGGAGGACTTTGTCTTTCAAAATTTGGAAAAGACATCCTTTCGTTTGTTTTTGGCTGCCTTTGAATTGGTAGAATACAAAAAGGGAGAAGATATTATGCACGAAGGTGATGTGGGTGATTACTTTTACGTATTGGCCGCGGGTAAAGTCAAGTTCTTTGCCAACGGCCGACTCATTGCAAGGGGCGAACGGGGGCATTCCTTTGGAGAAGCGGCCTTGTTGTACGCGGCTCCTAGAGCAGCTACCGTCACGGCCGCCGAAGATTCCATGTTGTACCGAGTGGACCAACAAACCTTCAAGTTCATTACCCAAAACAGTGCCCAAGAGATTCGACAACAAAAATTAGAATTGCTGAGAAATGTCGACTTTTTGGACAATTTGCTCAATGATGATTTGCAGCGTCTCTGTGACCTCATGGTTCCGCGCATTGTACCAAAGGGAGAATACTTGTACCAAAAGGATGGCGAAGCCGATGCCTTTTATATTTTGCAGAATGGAGAAATGACGGCTACTGATATCGTAGTGGGAGACACTACCTTTGAAGATATCCTTATTCAACCGGGAGACTACTTTGGACAAAATGCTTTGGCGCGAGACTCACCCCGTGAGAACAGTGTCATTGCCAAAGAAGAAAGTACAGTCTTTGGTATTGATCGAACAACATTCGACAAGGTCTTGGGTAGCTTTTACAATGTCATTCTCAAGACGAATGACCGACAGTTGCTGGTAAGTGTAGTTCTGATGTCACTTTCTCACAATTCCATCCCATCCCATCACTTTTCCACTCATCATTCATCACAACTTCTCTCACAAACTAATTACTCTTTCAGGGCCACATTGAAGTCATCAAGGATCTTGGATTGGATTCCTTCCAGCTTGTCAGTTTGGCGGAACAAGTGGTCGAAGTCCAATTTATTCAAGGCGAAGAAATCTTTGTGGAAGGCGAAGACATTGAACCAGCTCTTTATTTAGTACGAGATGGTACCGTCAATATTAGTGTGGGAGAAGGAGAAGACGCCAAAACGGTCCAAGAAGATGTCTATTTTGGTGACGATGTCTTGCTTTCGAAAGAAGACATTGTTCCGGCGCGGTACACGGTGACCGCTCTGGACGATGTCATTTGTGGTTGTTTGACGGTCAAGGCCTGTCGATTGGTGCTGGATTTGCAAGCCAATGACAATACGTCGGCTTCAGGATCGGGCAACGAATTGAGTTTGGCCAGCAGTGCGACTATGCAACGCCGGGCCGAATTGGCAGCCTCCTTTGAGAATGGTGTTCTGACCATTGAGGAAATGGAAAAGATTCGCATTGTGGGCGAAGGAGAATACGGCAAGGTGTGGCTCACCAAGGCTGGCGATTTGGAGGACGAAATCTTTGCTTTGAAGATTCAACAGTTGGAACAAGATGGAGAATCCTACTATGACAATATCAAACGAGAAGTGGCCACTATTGGATGTTTGCATCATCCATACATTGTGGGATTGATCAATTCCAAATTCACGGGCAATGAATGTTTCATGGTGATGGATTTCATTTCCGGTGGAGAACTTTGGAGCGTCGTTCATCGGGAATACCCCGATGGCCGGTGGGAATCTGGAATATCGGCGAAGGACGCCCAATTCTACTCGTTGATCATTGCCGATACCATTTCGTACATGCACCGTCGGAACATTTTGTTCCGTGACTTGAAGCCGGAAAATGTGATGATTGATGCGGATGGCTATCCCAACATTATTGACTTTGGATTTGCCAAGGTGTGTGAAGACAAGGCCTTTACCTTCTGTGGAACACCAAACTATGTCGCGCCCGAGATTGTTCTGAATGCTGGGCATGGTGTGGGAGTTGATCACTGGGCATTGGGTGTAATGATTTACGAGATGCTTTCGGGAGAAAACCCCTTCTGGTATGAGGGTATTGATACGATGACATTGTACGAGATTGTTGTGAAGGATGAACCGTATCCATTGGAAAAGGAACATTCGGATCCTATAGTGGAGAATCTCATTGATGGTTTGCTCGAAAAAGATCCATCACAACGATTGGGAGTCTTGGCTGGCAAAGACAAGGACATTCTCTTTCATCCATGGTTCGATGGATGGGATCTTCAAGAGTTGCGGCACAAGAAAATAAAAGCACCATGGTTGCCGCCAAAGGATTAGATTATTGGAATTGATGTTAATACTAGCAATACCAGCAATAATAGCAATGCTATCATATCATATCGACAAGCCTTCTAATATTCAAGACACAGTATTTTATTAATACATTGAACATGTTACTATACCCGGTAGTTTCGCCATGCTCCTTGTTTTAGTTTGATCGCGCGCCGAAAAGGAGTCCTACGATTCAAAAAAATCCCAACGGATGACTCGGATCGGATTGTCTATGGTGCGACGAGCGCCGGCATCGGTGGTACGAAAGACTGTGTAGGTTCTACAGTGACGATAATGTCCGAAGATGGAGGCGTCGAGGTCTATGGAGGGGGTTGCGGAAGGGTGTTGTCGGACCATGACCGCTCTTGAAACTTCAGGCAGCTAAAAGGCAAGAGCTGAAGGTCCAAAAAAGTCACTGCAGTAACGACCAGAGACCTTTTATATTCATAAACAATGGCTGCGAAAGTAGAAGCTGCGAAACAGAGTGTAAGTTTTTGCTTTTGGACTCTTTTTGGGAGTGTCTTGAGTCAAGATTCGAGCACGAGCATAAAAAAGGATCGTTGATTGGCGTTAGCTTCCGATTTGCTGATGTTTGTGCTTGTATGCTGAGCTGGGTCATTCAACCTGCGTATCGTAGACATTGAAGTCTTGCTCATGTATCCTCGTGCAATGTCTCATGCAATGCCTCATGCAATGCCTCATGTTTTGGTTCTAATCTTCTCGTCCTGAATCTTTTTCTAATCATTCAATGCAATGCAAATCAATGCAATGCAAATCAATGCAATGCAATTCAAATTCAAATTCAACTACTGATACAATCATTCAATATCTATCTATGTGTATGCGTTACATCATAACAACAAACAACAATAACAAACATCAACAGGTCTCAAAGCTACAAGGCGAAATCGATGACATTCTGAAAGAAAAGAACGATTCTACACTCTACAGTGCCGCCAGTGGGGCAGGTGCTGCCGCTCCCATTCGAGCGCCACCATCAACGCGGACCCGACGAACACTCAAGGGGCATTTTGGAAAGATCACTGCCCTGCATTGGGGCGGTGACTCCCGCAGTCTAGTCAGTGCCTCGCAAGACGGTAATTTGTTGCTGTGGAATGCTGTCACCTCGAATAAAGTCAAATCAATCACTCTGAAATCATCGTATGTCATGAGTGTGGGAATGGAGCAAACAAAAGGAAATATGATTGCCTGTGGTGGTCTCGATAACTTGTGCACGATTTACAATCTTTCTGCCGGGTCTAGTAACGGCAACACTTCGGAACCAACCCCTGCGGCTCATGAAATGGCAAGCCATGATGGTTTCCTGTCGTGCTGCCGGTTCATTGACGAAAAGAACATTATTACCTCCAGTGGAGACTCCTCCTGCATTCGGTGGGATATTCCCACTGGACGAGTGCTGGAAAGCTTCCGGGAACATGAAGAAACAGCCATGTTCTTGTCGCTCAAGCCAAATGATCCGAATGTCTTTGCTAGTTGTTCTGTAGATAGGACTGCCAAGGTCTGGGATGTAAGGGCACCCCAAAAGTCAACCATGACCTTTACGGGTCATCTCGGTGATCTCAACAGCATTGACTTTATGCCCTCCGATGGGAACACCTTTGCCACTTGCAGTAACGATGGCACGACAAGACTATGGGACATGAGATCATATCAAGAAGTAGCGAGATTCGGTACTCTTGTGGAACCAGATCCATTTGATCCAAATCCTGGATTCACTTCTCTGTCATTTTCCAGATCGGGACGACTGTTGTTTGCTGGTCATTGCGATGCCTCCGTCTTGGCGTATGATGTCTTCAATGCTGGAAAGACTGACGCACCTGCCTTTACATTCAATGATGCACACGAAAACTATGTTTCGTGTATCGGAGTGTCTCCAGACGGTGCTGCTCTTTGTACTGGATCCTGGGATTGCAACCTTAAGGTACGAACGTCGTGTGATTACTTTTCTCTTCCTGCAATCGATTGACACTGATTTCTCAAATTGCACTGTCCTTGTCTATCCACTATTACTCTCTACTATACTAGGTTTGGGCTTGAGATTGATTTGTTTGTTGGTGTGTGTATAATGTTTTCCCTCGTTTTCTCGAATGTGTGCAACACTGCTACTACTGCTGCTGGACAAATGATGGACCTTTCTTGATAATGCGCCATCATCTCTTTTGGTGCAGCAAAACAAGCAACTAAACGAAATTTAAGACTCTAGTTGAAAGTGAATGAATGAATGAATGGTTTCTTTGTTTGATTGGTTGGTTTGTTCTATTGTTACTTTTTTGTTGTTGCTCGATAGTTGATTGATTTTCATTCAGTCACTCATAACACTATTCATTACACCATTCAATCATTCGTCACATATCGTCACTCGTTCCACCTTGGCCATCTCGGACTTCCATTCACTGTTGGATTCAATGTATGCATTGCCTTGTTCATACAATAGGCCTAGACTAGGACCGGGACCTCCCAGATCCGACACTTCACCAAAGGATGGAAACTTGACCACAGTGTCCATTTGTTCCACGGTACAAATCGGAACAAACAAGTGCTGGTCGAGTCGTTGGTTGTCGGCCAAATTGATAAAGAGCTCGGCCGTAGCATTCCAGGTCACTCCTTCTGGATATCCGGGCAAGTCCTTGTTGTAGCTAGTGGACATGGATATCGTACCAAATGTATTGGAAAGAGAATTGACCTTGGTACAATTATTTTTGTCACTGGTCGTTTGTGTTGGCTGAACAATCGTCATGGGCTTATTCTTATTCTTCTCGTGTAGTAGGAGTGTCTCATCATCGTTGTCACTATTATTATTATTATTATTAGCCAATAGTAGGACACTTCTGACGAGTCTGGCAAATAAACTTTGAATGGGTTCTTTGGCTTCCTCCCCTCCCATGCAATATGGCATGAATGGTGGTTGTGGTTTGAGTATCGCACAGTCTGAATTGGTCGTGGACCTAGTAGTAGTAGTATAGTTGTAAATGTTGCTGAGGTAGGGATCACCGGATGTTCCAAACTGGGCCACAAACTTGGGCAGCACGCGAAAGAAATAATTGTCACTGTAATATCCCAGTCGGGCAAGATTATAGACTCTATCCACATGTACTGGAGCTCGATCTCGTTCGCAGTGCGCCACAAAGGTTCCGTAATTGTGATTCATTTCAAATTGTATGGAAAAGGATTGGGGGGCTTGACGTTGATGGATTTCGTCATGACAGGGATCGTGAAGAATTTCTGGGCGCAAACTTGCGACTTCACAATGACGACAGTGTACTTCACCAAGCCATGAACATACAGCTAGGATCTGAAGGCTGCTTCTTATGCTATGCCAGGGATATGGCATGATGCTGTAAGCAAGAATTGATGACGGTAATGATGTTATGTGATGATGATGATGTATATAGTACGTGCTACGTGATGCTATGATGGGTCCGTTGAGTCAGTCAGTCATTTGGGTTTGGTTCTGATACATACCAGCACGGTAGCAACAAATACATTGAATACACCTGCCATACGGTACTGTATGCCACATAGTAGTAGTATCAATAGCGCTCTCAATATGAATCATTCTACCGGAAATCATGAGAGATGTGTCAAAATAGTAGAAAAAAATGTAGTACACGAAGTTATATATTTTATACTAAAATGTGTTGCGACATCGATCCCGCTCATCCGTCGCCATCATATATATCCACTAACAGCCATTGCTTGCTGTAGTCCTATAGTAGTGTTGCCATCCAAAATTAAATTTAGCTAAACCCGGGACCTTCCGAAAGTTCCAAGGAATTGAATTGGTATCCCATGTTATTCATTGGCATATGTCCTCCTCCATTGCGGTACTTGTTGTATCCAAACATACCCGCCACCGCTACAATCATTCCAGTGAGCAATCCAGGCATAAATTTGGTGGAAGACGTCTTCGCTGCAGCCGCAGGTGGAGCAGCAGCAGCTCCCAATTGGGCAGCTTCTTCTTCTACTTCCTCCATACCATCGGCCTTCTCCTTCTTTTCATCCTCAGAAGTAGATGATTCCATAAAGTAGGTTGCACCACCACTGACTCCCTTGTTCTTTTCCATGTGATGGGCAGCAACGTCCCAAATGGCCATATCAGCAGGTGGAACACACGTCTGACGATAGGCTTCGTAACGATCCGCAAGGTCACCAAATTGAGCGCTAGCAATATCCTTGGACTTTTGTGCCATGGGTGGAGCCCAGAACGGAGGTGGCATGACCATGGTCATGGCGGGCGTGTCAAACTCAAAGACACACTTGTTGCGAATGTCCTTGCAGTTCGATTGGGTGACTTCTGAAGGGATGCAGTCGTTGAGCATCTTGAGTTCTTGCGTGAGACTATCTTGCATCAAGGGCATGATAACATCGTTGGCGTTACCGTAGATGCAAGAAAAGGCAGAGAGCCAGTTTCCTACAATGGGAACCGGCCATTCGCTGAGGGTGCACATGGGCAACTTGCCAGCGATTTCCGAAAAGCACTTTTGTTCGCGTTCTGGAAATTCTTCGGCATACAAAAAGGCAGTTCCGAATGGATTGTCACCGACCATGGCGTCGACGCACTCTTGTGGAACTCGTGGCAAAGGAGATTCCTTGGCCTTGAGCTTTTCCATATCTTCAATGCCCATACCAATGTCATCCAATTCTTGAGCGACATCCACAAAGTAGGATCCACAATTCAGAAGTAGCCCAATGTACATGCTACCAAAGTCTTCAATCAGTTCCTTCAAATCAAATCCAGCACACGTCTTGAACGAATCGAGAGCACTGTTAAAGGTGGTGGCTTGTTGGGCGTTGCAACGATTCTTAACATCGGCAAAGGGATCGTCCATCAATTTGTTCATATCAATATTGTTGAGGCATTGCCCAAACATCATGGTCATCATGTCACCGCCATACGATGACATGGCACCAATGAAATCATCGCCCTGATCCATGCCACCACCAAAGGGATTGCCTCCACCAGCGGCACCTGAAGGAATCTGTTGAGTCATGCCACTCAAGTTACCATTCATGTTGCTGTTGCTGTTTGTGTATTGGCTATTGTAAGATCCCTGTGGGTTGGAATACGTGTTGCTGCTGCTTGTCAAGGATTGTCCACCAAAGTTGTTGACACTGTTAACCGCAGCGTTGTTGTTATTGTTGTTGTTGTTATTGTAATACATGCCTTCATCACCGTTGACGACTGTCAAGGGAAGCAGTAAGAGGACACTGGACTTGATCATCACCATTGTTGCTTGAGCGTGATCGCTTGTTTGCTTGTTTCTTATATTACGCTGAAGCTGAAGCTGAAGCTGAAGCTGAAAGTGAAAGTGAACACTTGAGTAATGATGGTTAAAGGTGAAAAGCTCCTGAAGTTTCGTCTTCCTGAATCGTGACCGTGGCGGTTTCTGTCGATCCGGTTAATTTTGGCGTTCTCTTCGTTCTCTTGTCAAGAATAGTTCGGGAAACGCTGGCACCTCAACCGTTAGCCGTGAACATCAGAATTTTTCTGTGAATCGATTATTTTAAAATACCTCCTGGATGTATTTTTTAATAATAACACTAGGTTGTACAGTATCTTACAATAATATATAAAATTGAATAGTATGAATAGTACACTTCTTTATCATTCTATCACAACGCTACAATTATATGCAATGATCAACAAACAACAGTCACGTCCTCTGTATCTTCTTCGTCTTCCCCTCCGCCATATTTTTCTTTCCATTCTTGTACCAGATTCTCTCCTTCGCGAACCCATTCCTCTCGATTCCCAATGGCATAATTCAAATATTCATGGCTGGAAACTCCAAAGACACCACAGCTGTCCAGTTTCTTGGCCAATGGAATCACATAAAATTCGAAAAAGCCAATCTCACCCTTGTACCAATTGATGCTTGGGTCGGTCTCGCCACGCCCCGCCATGTAGGCGCCGTAACACTCCTGGAAGAACTTTTCGTTCCAAGTCTTGTAGACGTACCAATGTTGCATGGTATGGCTCACATCCGATGCTTGGATCAGATGCTCAATAACAATGGTGGCCTTGCGATCTTCACTCTTATCATTATTGTCATCGTCATTATTATTGTCGTCATCATCATCGTCGTCGCTGCTGTCTACTATGGAGATACACTCGGACGAAAATGCCTTTTCCCATCTCGATTTTCGCAATTCTTGGAGTTCCTTGTCCACCACATCGGTAGCCATGACGGTGTTCACTACCAATTGACGGAATCGTTTCAATTCGTCACCCGTCTGGTAAATGCAAGCTCTCAGGGTTCTGAATTCATCCCCCATTAACATGTCCCACGAGAGTTCCACACTGTTTTGTTCGGCAATGGACTTTTGGTAGATCTGGGCACTCCTTGTTTTTTCTTTTACCAATTGCGTATTAGGCACTCCAGGATGGTCCACATCGTGAATAATGGCGGAAAAGACCACCGCAAATTGGGTCAGTGGATCCGAGGTGATGCCATACGAATGTCCGGCCAAATCCACAAGGTCCAAGCTGGAAGAATGGTTGCTGCTACCGCTCAACCCATTCCCTTCGTCCACAGTGACGATACGTTTCAGTAGTTTCTTGACCGAGGCAGTGACATGAGAGGCATGCTGCAAAAGTTAGAAAAAGTAGAAAAAGACAACAACAAGTTAGTTTCAGTTTCGATTGGTGTGTCACATTAGACTCAATAAGACATCATGATCATGGCAGACAAGAAGAACCTACCTCAAAGTTGTGGAATGGATTGTCCTTGTACAGTCCGGCAATGATGGTCAAGAAGCTCCGTAATTGAGACTTTGCTTCTTCTCCAATATCAATGGTATGTGCCGGACGACGTTTTCTCAATTCTCGTTCGCCGAATCGTTTCAAAGGAATAATGGGAACGAACTCTTCCAAAATGGTAGCTCCTGATCCGACGGTCTTTTCCAGATTGGCCAAGGGTTCAATCGACTTGACCTCACCCCTTCGCGAGGCAATGATTTGCTGTAAAAGCGACGTCAAGACTTCGACATTCCATTCGACCAGACGTTCCATTTTGTTCATGCCATCGGCAATATTTTCAAGTTTGAGGTCAGTGGTGGACCTTCCAGCAGCAGCATCATCGTCATCGAGTTCGTCCATTTCGTCGAGGACGGAAAACTCATCCGAGCTCTCATACCTTTTGGAACGTTGTACCGCACTGCGGCGCAGCCAATAGGTCTGCATGTTTCCCTTACCCTTGAGAAAGATCTTGTTTCCTCTCGAAATGAACCAATGAGAATGACCCGACTGGGTCAGCAAATCAACAGTAGCTTGCGACAGTTGGATTCGATTCCGTTCCCCGCTACTCTCCATGCGAGCTGCCGTGTTCATTGTGTCACCAAATAGTTGGAAGCGGCTTCGTTCTCCTCGCAAGACTCCTGCAGTGACTTGGCCACTATGAATTCCAACTCGAAGATCCAAGTCCGCCGTATCAGGTCCAAGAGTGACTTCCAACCTTTTGGTTAGTTCCCCCATCTTCTCAACAGCATCATTGGCGAAGAAACAAGCGGCGCTTGCATGATCCGCCGATGGAACCATGTCCCCCAATTCCAATCCGGCTGCTCCGACATAACAATCCCCGACTGTTTCTACCTTGAAAACTCCATGCTGCGATGCCATGGTGTCAAAGGCCCCAAAGATTGTTTCCAAAAGAATAAAGACTTGCTGTGGCTCCCGAGTAGATGCCCAAGCAGTAAAGCCTGCGATATCAGCAAAGACAATGGTAGTGCTTGGAAACAGTTCCGCCATGGGTGCAACATCTTCTCTTTCCGAATTAATGGATTCGATTGCAGTACCATCGAGATTGGATTCTCTCTGATGAGGATTATTTTGGCCATAGATCCGCTCTCTAACGGCTTTGGGAAAAACATTCGAAACAATCATCTCTTGGATTGCGATCCGATCCATGAATTCTCGTTGACGTCTTCCAACGAGATAGTCATAAAGGAAAAAGACAAAGGCTGGTAAACCAAAGACCGCAAAAATGATTGATGCCTTCTCGAATGGGGTAACATAAGTCTCGATGGAATCGTAAAATTCCTGTGTGGGGTACAGATGCATCGTCAAACGTGGGACGCAGACCCCATCAGGAACTTGTGATTCATCAATGTCAGGATCGATGAGGGTCTCGATATGTTCGAGATGATCATAACTCTGACTGTGCAAGTCCGACAAGTCACCAAGAATGGCGGTGGTGGCAGAACCATCCATCTTCATGGAGAAGATAGTGGAGCTTCTGTTGGCACAAGAAGATTTTAGAACGAGAATAATGCCTTTCGCATCCACAAGAAGATCTTCAAAGTAGCTCGACCAGTCTATCCGGTAGACTACAACCGCTGTCATCTCCTTTGCAATGCCACTGTTATGGGTTGTATCGTAGATTGGTTGCATGATGTGACTGGCCGGCACAGTGACTCCTGATTCCAAAGTGATGTTGGTCATGCCAATGGCGGGACCTGAAACTTGCTTTGTCACGCGATATAGATCCTCAATCTCTGCGGTAGACAGAGAATCCAGCCCCGCGCTAATGTAAGGAACTGTTGGGTCGGATTTCAATGGATACGTCTGCCAAATCGGCAATGCTTCACCCGAGTGTCGGATTGCCGTGGGCTGGTATCCATTGGCAGCATCAAGCTCATAAATAAATGGAACTGTGCTGTTCATAATTGTACCCGTAGTATATTGCCCATCGAAATCTTCATTCGAGATGGACTCTTGAACCCATGTCATGATGTTATCTTGCATGTAATTTGCCCATTCCGTTCGGTCCGTTTGTTGTACAACTGGTGCTAGCATCACGTGTGGATCCTTTGACGCTGCAGAATCGGCAAATTTTTCTACCTTTTGAGACCATTCTGATACTGCGTAAAATGGCCATCTCTGGTTGGAAAGTTTCAATTCGGACTCGGCCTGCGACGAGATGGAGAATGCAAAGGAGTCCAACGATCGGAGGAGCTGATCAATCTTTTGTTGCGAGACGGTGGAAACTTCAGAAGCATATCCTGCAAACTGCAAAACCAAAAGAAATTGTGAGTGATCCGAAACGAGACATTCAAAATCATCATGACTCGTTAACTGGTGGTGAACTTGGAACTTACCAGGTTTTCAAAATTTTGTTCATCTTGTTCCACTCCAATCATGTACATTCCCACACCAACGCATACAGCTGACAAAAACAAGACCATGGCCACAAGAATCTTTGCTTTCTCCACTGCTGCTTCTTCTTCCTTTGCTACTATTGGTGCCGCATCTTGGGGTGTCGGAAGTTTCGACGTATTGCTCTTCCGAAGACTCCTTGACATCGCATCGCCCCTCATACTAATATCAAAAGGCATTTTGAAGAGCTTCTTTGGTTCAGCAGTCGTATGGCCGCTATTCTCGCGGACTATCTCTCTCAACGACATGATGATGAATAGGTTGGTTGTGGTAGGGTTTCTCTTGAAAGTATCGTTACTTCACAAGGTGACTACCTAAAATATATTATTGTGAGTGACAGCGTTTGGACCAACCTGTTTTTGAAGTGTACAGTAAAAGAAATGACTCGATCTTCTTGCGGACGTGGTGGAAAACCCCGTTAAGAAAGTTTGGGCATAAGTAAAAACCACCAAATTTTCGGTCAAAATGACGCAGGTAAAAGAATCTGGCGCTGCTTTCCTCTAAGTGGGGAAATGTTGAAGCGGAAACATACGTAATAAGTGCGTGAAACGATCGGCAATGGAGAGCTCACAAGTTCTAGACTAGTCCAAGAAGTGCCGAAATGAAAAACGAAATTTAAAAAGTGTACACTTAGCCTTTGCTTCTCTCGAGAGGATAACCTGTTGTCATTCCACCAAGCGCTCCATTTTTTCGTAGGTAATTCTGTCATGGTTGCTGAAGAAATTGTCAAGATAAGGAGTGCAGCCGCCTAATTTTTTCTACCAATATGATCTTCGTTGTCGGTGGAATGAATCGTGCTGTACATTTCACTTGTAGAATGCAATGTTAAGAGAGACACCGGAAATATAGTTGAAGCGACCTAGAGTGGCTCTTGAGGACAATGAGGCCAGCTCCCGAGGAGTCCCATCATTGAACCACCAGTATAGTACTGGGTAGTCTGCAAAGTGGCCCGTCTTCTTTTCCCAGGGCAGCTTTGCTTACTGTGTCCACGTGAAAACAGAGATGTACTGTACGTGTACTGTACGGAGGGGTTGGTGTTCGGTTGTCAGATATTAAAGCTATTTATTTAGTTAACATTTCGTCTCGCATCGTACCACCCGAATTTCATCGTTTTTCCGCCGATTTTGATTCAGTCGAGCAACAGACTGACTCCGTCGACTAAATATTTGTTCTTAGTTTTTTTACTGTAGCCTTTACGGCACGTTATTACGTCTGCTTTTCGCATCATTTGCAGACTTCCTGTACATTTAGGAAATTACACTGTACACGTACACGGTACACGTGTACAGTACAAGTACTCTAGTATTCGTACAAAGGTACATATCTGGTTCGTACCACCAAGCCACACAGCAAAAGTTCGATCACGACAAATTATTATTTGACGGACGAAGGCAGTACTGTACAAGGCCACATTTATCGCGTTATACTGGTAGTTTCAAACATTTGTTTGCTAGAGAATGTTGTTTCACGCCATATTTACCGAAAAGTCGAAAATATTGTACCGCAACATTTTATGGTACAAAAACCGCTACAAAGCGGAAGCATCCACTATGGTTCATTCTAAAGTACCATCAGCGTTGTAAAAGATAAGCAAAGGACCACAATTTGAATATATATATATATATATATATGACAATAAGACATGCCAATCTGGTACTTTACTACAATTATAGTAGTAATTAGTTTAAAATGGTGCAAGACGCCGCTGCCCCGTTGTTGGGATGTTCAGTCCAGTGCCATCAGCGCGATACTGCATGCACCACCGAGTGTTGCAATAAAAAATATTATCATTGGCAACAACGGCTGTTCACATGTCTGACAGATATCGCTTGCTCCCCATAGTTGAGCAGGGTGATGGATCACATGAAACTGATATTCCAAGCGAGGCTTCCGCTTTGCCTTTCAATCCTTTGGAAATAGTAATCTCCAATCGACGATCTTGTTCTTGAAGTAGGTACGCCAATCCCAAATCCTAAAGGGGCCACTTATCTGGGATCTTGCTGATCATGGACGCGCTTACGAGCCTCGGCCTGCCCGTCCATCATTCAACAAAGACTGGCTGGAGGGAAGCATCCAAACTCAGCAAGCCATGAAATCGTCTGGTTTCGCGTCGCCGATGCAGCCTAGTGAGTGACCAATCCACTAGAAACCACAAAGGCAAACACTAGCCTTCCGAAGGATCCCTCGGAAATGTGACATTGAAATAAACGCGAAAATGTAGACTCGCCAAAATATCCTAAAAGAGAAAAGAAAAGAAAAGTGAGATCATGGTTAAGAAAGTAAATGCAATTGATGGGGTGAATTTCCAGGTAAAACTCTTTGATGGGTTGTTCGTGTGTTGTCGCACACTATTATCATACTTCATCTCTTTCAAAGTCGTAGCAAGAATGTGCTTTAATTGGCACCTTTTCCTCGATTTACCACGCGGCGACTGTATCGTCGTCCTTTTTTCGTCATGTCAGATCCCAAAGCTTCAGTAGAAGGATCCTTCTTCTCTGGCGAAAGCTTGAGCTGTAGTCGTCGACTGTAGCGCTTTCCAGATTCGGTCCATCCAGATCCCATTCCATCAGAAGGAATATCAGTAGTACGTGCGTTGTCAGATTGCTCGGTTGGTGCTGCAAAAATCTCGCCATCGCTACCATCTTCCAAAGAATCGAAGTCGTCATTAATCAATGCAGCATCCAAAGGCGACTCGTCGATGGTACTCAAGTCTTCTCCCTCTGGATCTTCGATGATGACATGAAGGGAAGGTTTGAATTCCTTCTTCTCGTTCACGTCGTCGACTTCGTCTTCTTCCTCCTCCTTTATTGGATCTTCAATAATGACAAGAAGCGTTGGTTCAAAATCGATCTCCTTCTGGCCCTTGCTTCTTCTGGCCCTTGCCTTGTTTGCCCACTTGGCTCTTTCGGCCTTGGTCATCTTGTTCAAATTCGCCTTCTCGGCCAAGATCTCCTCGGACTTGTTGACCCAAATAGCGTCAGCTTTGGCAAGACGAGTCGATGGTTCATTGGCGATATCATCGTTGAATCCAGCATCCAACGACGAGTCAATGTGGCTCTCGTCGCCGTCTTCTTCTGGATCTTCGATAATGACAGGTAGCAAAGGAGTGAAGAGTTCATTGGTTCGTTTGGCCCATGTTGCAGCGCAAATTGGAACCGTAAAGGATGAATTCATTTTGCGACGCTTGGTGGGTCTGGATGAAATAAGGCAGGAAGTTGCGATTCGCTTAAGTGACAATGGTGCTTGTTCTTCCATGCAGGGCTCGTTGTCGTCGTCGTCATCCAAATCCATTGGTACAGGAAAATTGGAGAGCATGTCATGAAGGACCGTTGGAAGCATTTGTCGGTGGTTCTCGAGCGCAATAGCAATGATTTCAGAGTCGATTTTGCCATCAATAAATCCAGTATCCAAAGACGAGTCAGTGTTGCTCAAATCTTCTTCTGCTGGATCTTCGACAATGGTGGCAAGCACGGTAGGTTTGAAATCGATCTTCCAGCGCCGGGCATTCCGTCTCTTGATCTTGCGGTCAATTTGACGAACTAGCTGCCTTCGGGACTGAAGATCTTGCTCGTCGGGAAGGAAGTTTCTTCTTCGAGTCTTAGGGGCGAAATGGACTCGGATTGAAGAGGTTGGTTTGGGTGATCCCCAATCTTGTCTTGAAGGACGAAGAATGGACACAGGAGTGTGTGGAACGAATCTCACTGTGTTCTCTATCTCTGGAAGTACTTCGTCGTGAAGTTGAATGCGCCATTGAATCAGACCCCAGCATTCCCTGCGAGATTGTAGCTCGTGCTTGTTTGGGACGAAGGTTCGACGAAAGATTTTGGCGAAACGGACACGATTTGGTTTTCTGATGAACACACCAAACCAACTTCGGTTTTTCTTGCGAGACCCGCCTTCTGGACGACGAAGGATGGAAACAGGAGGCTGTCGCCTGTTCCATTGCCTGCAAAGTCTCTGATAGGTTCGGTAAGTGTCGAGTACCATGTACCGAAGTAACACGATTGCGACTGCACAAACCAAACCGGTAATGATGGTTTCTTGAACTGGTTGTTCTTGTTGTTGTTGAGTGATGGCACTCATTCGAGGTAACTTGGGAAAGCTGATGCTTTTCAAGCTTTCTTGATTGACAAAGGTAGTGATGTAGTTGGTCATGATTGTTGTTGTTGTATTAGTTGATTCAAAGAGGTTCATAATGGAAATTGTGAGGTGCTGCGTTGAGGTGTGGAGTGAAAACCGCTACGGGTGGGAGATCGCCAATTTGCCGTGTTTTTAATACGATTGACTCCTTCGAATCCTCGTTTGGTGGTCTCGGTGCGTGGACTTTGGTGTTTTGTAGGATGGATTGTTTTGATGTCATGATGGATTCGGGACGCTGATTGTAGAGTGTTGGAAGGTTAAACCATTGTCGATCATATATATGATGAAAGATGTCGACTACATCTTCATTATCGTGCGGTGGGTCATTGATAGGTCGGTCCGATCGTTGACAGCAGTACACGTGTACGAGTATATATGTATATGTACGATACTGCATAGTCGGAGTGGCTGTCGTGATTTGTTTGCAGTTTCGACTTTTTTCATCGTGTATTTTTCATCGTGTAATTTTCCACAACTATTTTTCATCGAGGTTTAAAAAAAAATGTTTCATTTTTCCTCAAGCAAATTCGGATTGTTTTTCTGTTGATATTTTCTATTTAAAGTCCACCTGGGTCCGTTTTCTAGCCTTTACAGCACGTTATGTCTGCAAATTGTTTCCACCACGTACACTTTTATAGTAATACTAGGCAACGAGATATACTAAAGATGCCAACAGGAAAGATGGCAGGAAAGATGAAACTTCAGGATGTTCCCCATTGAGCTGCTCACTCTTCTTCATCAAACTCATACAATGTGTCGTCTTGATGATTCGAGTGCCATCCTTCTTTGGCGCAGACTCATCACTCTTGAGTACAAGTACTGATAAAGCCGTACTCCTTTACTGTGTCTTGCCGTCGTCCCAACGCATTCTCACCATCAAATAAATACCGCGCCGGAAGTGATAATCCGAAGCCCCAGAATTTGTAGCATTTTTTGTGCATGTCACATGAGAAGAATCCTATTTGCAATCAGGACCGAGCTCTTCTGAACAGCATTATAAAAGGCATCTCATATCTCATCATCAAGATCATTCATACAGATAGCAGAGAAACATAATGGAATCACTTAAAAATTGCCGTCAATACAGTTGGGAGGAATTCGATCAACTTGATTTGAATTCCAAAAACAAACTTTTTCAGGGCGACGTCCCGCAAGTGTTTCACACATTGAATGCCGAACAATTCGATCGTGAACTCTTGGATCGGCTTTACAGCTTGACCAACATTATTCGCAGTATTTCCAAGACTAAGAATGGCGCAACATACTTAGCCAACCGCCTTCGAGACAAGCGAGCAATGCTTTACTTTGCACAGGCCTCGACCCGAACCTATCTGAGGTATGTTTCAGGTTGTTTCAGGTCGTTCATTAAAAATTTCACCATCAAATGTCGTCATCATACTAACCATACTCACTCTTTTCTTCCAAAGCTTCAAGACAGCTTGTGATATCATGGGGATCAACTGTACAGATGTTCGTGATACTAGTACAAGTTCAGAAGTCAAGGGAGAATCCTTTTCGGACACGATTCGAACATTCAGTTCGTACTTTGATTTCGTGTGAGTCTTGACCTGAGCCCATCACATTATTAACTTTGGTGTAACTCTCACACACCATCCACCCTTCTACTCTAGTATCATGCGTCATCCGGAAGAGAGCCATGCAGAGAAGGCAGCATGGGTAGTCAACTCGAGTGATCGTCCCGTTCCCATTCTCAACGCAGGATCCGGAAAGGATCAACATCCTACACAAGCATTGTTGGATATGTACACCTTGCGTCGTTCCTTTGAAAAGAATGGCGGTATGGACGGGAAAACCATCATGATGGCTGGTGATTTGAATAGAGGAAGAACTGTTCGGAGTCTGTCCAAGCTGTTGTGTCTGTTTCCTGGAGTCAAAATTATTTTTAGTGCACCAGCAGGCTTTGGTATGCGTGATGATGTGCTTCAGTTTTTGGACAAGGAAAATGTCAAATACATTGTAACAGAAGAGTTCGTGCCTCATCTGTCAAAAGCGGACGCAGTCTACATGACCCGAATCCAAGACGAACACGACAAAAACGACGGCACTACCTCCAAACGGTCGTATGACGACTTTAGTCTCAAGTTTGAGCATTTGTCGCTTCTCAAACCTTTCTGTGCAATCTTGCATCCATTGCCAAGAAGGGACGAGCTCGACCCGAAGATTGATAACGATCCACGTGCCAAGTATTGGCGACAGGAGCGCAATGGGATGTGGACACGCGCTGCATTGATTGCAATGACTGGGGGAGCAGAACCACAAATTCAAAATTACTGGAGGGATCTCAGCCTTCAAGCCTCCCACACTGGTATCATTCAACTTCCAAAAGAAGAAGATGGCAAGGAATGGCGTCCTCTACAAAGAATGATGACGAATGACCCTAGAATGTAGTGCGATTGTCAAGATGTTATTAGTAATGAGTCACATGACGAGGCAAAATACCATTACTCGGTTGGGACTACATAGTTATATGTCCAGGATTCCGGGTTCTCTCCAACATTATTATGCTCCACATATTACCACTATACGATACAGTCTATACGCTTGCAGACTCACTCGCTTTCCCGCCTTTTGTTTCCCTTGCTGCCATTCTTTCAGGAAATTGCGCAACAAGACCAGTACGCCTCCTCCTTGTTGAGAAGCATCGAGCCCACCATCTCCGTGCCCGAACATCAGTCTCCACAGCAAGAAGCTGATTTTCGCCAAGCGGCTCAAGCCCAAGTGCATAACAGCAAGCTTCTCTCGGCTAATGCTAAGAGATTTGGGCAAATGCTGCTTGATGTATCTCGGCTTGCGGATACCAAGATTTCTACTGATATCACATTCGAAAAGACGGTGCAAGAACGCCTCTTGTTCGAACCATGGGCTCAATCCTCGTTCACCAAGATTGTGGTCCTTTTCAGTGACGTCTTTGAAGCACTTCGAGACCTCAAAGAAGCGGCAAGCGCATCGGGAAAGGCGGGAGTCTGGGTAGCACCCGATTCCTTTGAGCGAAAGACCACAAAGTATTGGGTACCCGAAGAGAATCTACCAGAACTACTCATGACATGTGCCAGTGAGGCTCCGTTCTTGGTGTATGGAAAGACTGGCCGACTTTCAAGAGCCGAAGATATTCCTTTGGACAATCTGTGGAAGAACCTATCATCCAAGATCTCGTCCATCTATTTCGATTCGCCTTCACTGGCCTTGTACAAGGAGCGAATCAAGCGAAGAGAAGGAGCACAGCTGTTGCGAGCTCGATGGTATGGGGAGAAGCCACCGAAGCCCGACCAGCCAGTCTTTTTGGAGCTCAAGACCCATCACGAAAGCTGGATCTTCGCCAAGTCGGTCAAGGAAAGAGTGGCCATCCTCGAGAGGGATATGAATGCCTTTTTGTATTCGATGGACTCGGTCATGTCGGAAGGCTACGCCGAGTCTTTGGTACTGGCGGCAACACCCAAGTTGAAGGGCGAGAAGCTGGCCAAAGCGATTGATCTATTGATTCGGAGCCATACCTTGGTGGTCCGTCACAAGTTGCGCCCATGTGTTCGGTCAACCTATGATCGATTGGCCTTTCAATCCTCCAAGAGCAACTCCCTTCGTCTTACTTTGGACCGCAAGGTTGTCGTCAGTGATGAACGAGGATGCAAGCAAGGGGAACAATGGTATGTTCCTTTTGAGCCCTACGAATCCAAGCCAGATGGGTCCGACAGAAGGACCATCCCTTTTGCAGTCTTTGAGATCAAATTGGGCGAGGGTCAAGAGTCTACTGCTTTGAATGAATGCATCGACAATGGAACCATTTTGGATGCTGCCAAGTTTTCCAAGTTCTTGACGGGTGCGGCAACCTTCAACACTGTGAATCACTTGCCCTATTGGGCGGACCATCCTGCCTTTCAGACCTTCTTCTACCAATCATTTGCATTGTCATCGAAACTATCTTCTCTTCGTGATGTCCCATACAATAATGATGGAGAGATTAGTCTCACGGCAACGGGTTCCTCGGACGAAGCAGGGTTGCCTGGAGATCGCAAGTCGAGCAAAAAATTCTTGTCTTTCTTGCCGCAAAGAGTACGAGGAAATGCTTTTGTGGCGCCGAAGAAGGCAGTCCGAATCGAGCCCAAGACCTATTTTGCAAACGAGCGAACCTTCATTCAGTGGGTCAGTGCCGCCTTGTTCTTGGTGACTACTTCTGCAATTTTGCTCGAGGCTGAAAATGGAGAAGGCTATGCCAAGCTGACGGCCACAACTCTTTTGATCTTTGCCTTGATCATTGCGATATACGCGGTGGGACTCTATTACTTTCGCCTTTGGCTCTTGACCAACGCTCGGCCGTACGGATACATCAGTCATTTTGGACCCTTTGTTTTGACTAGTGCAGCCATAGCTGGGACCTGGGTAATTTTGCGTCAGATTCGTTTGGTCGAATTCCAGGAAGAATTAGAGCGAAGTGTGGAGGAAGCGAGGAACAAAGTTCGCTTCGTTCAAGCGGATCCTGGGATGTGTATGGAACATGATATTAGTTCATTTTCGCCATTGGAATTCGAGCCTAGTGATGCACTTGTGGATCTACAGCGCAACCAATTGTTGGTTCCATCTCTCTCGGAGATTTATGGTTTTCCTCTTCCTGAATGGAACAGTGAAGGGGTTCTCGAGATCCCAAATGTTTCCTCCAGCATTGTGGCACAGGTGGAACTAGCTGACTTTGGATCGGCTACTCTGGTCGATGATGACACACTGTACGCCGTTTCTGAAATCGATATTACAACCCTTGAGCAGTCTCCACAAATGTACTCGTTTGAACGCGGAGATTTTGGACGCTTTGAAGTCACTGGTCAATGGAAGCTGGAGACACCCGAACCTGAAGGTATGGTCAGGGTTTCCGAAGGCAGGTCCTCCTACTTGTTGGTTTCTGGTCAAATCGGAGAGGGACCACTAAGTGCGGTCATTAATCATTTCGATGTTCCTGAACCCAATGGAACGCCGATCAACCGAAATGCCACTGTTGGTTTACCCACGACACCAACGTTGGAAGCGAGCCGCAATCTGAACGAGAAACTCATTGACGCTAATATGGAGGACCCAAAGATCGGAGCCATGACCTACTTCGAAGGAGTCTTGTACGTCTTGCACGAAAAAGGCAAGGTCGTCCGAGCTTGGGACATGGAGACAGGGTCCTTCCAAGCCGAGTGGGCATTGCCAGGAATTCCAAACAGCAGTGGAAAGCAATGGGAAGGACTGGCGTTTCAACGAGTCGAGCGTCCGAGACGAGCCACATTAATCGAACGATCATCTTCTTCAAACCCAAAGAACAACCTTCGCCGTCGCCGCATCCAGACAACAGACGACGATCCTCGATGGAGAGATGATGATATGCAAGGAACCGATGACGACGACCAGGAAGAGGACGAAGTTGACACCAGCGTTTTGGTCCTCCACTTGACGCATGACACGCCCGCTGCCATTTGGAGTATTGTCGTCAAAGAAGGTGACATGAAAGGAAGCATCGAATACCCACCATGTGCTGATGTTTTTAGGTAGATTGCATAACTATTGAACATCTATCTCGAATTTGAAAACATAAGCTACGTTTCTTCGCGTATTGGCAATTCGAAAGCGAGCTAGTGACATCTATCCAACTTTCATTCTATCAACATTCTATGGGTGACCATTTTTCAATGATCCGGCAACAGTGATGTGGTGCTATGACCGTTCCAGGTATACAGGTACGATACCCGGTATTTTGGCGTGATGTTTGGCGTGGATTTGGAATTAAAGTATATAGGTGAACCTATAATATTATTCAGTACATTGCATAAACGACGATCGTCAAAACCAAAACCATGATGCATGACAGTTATAGTCTACACTGGCTTCGCATTTGATTGAATTTTGTAATCGAATGCTTATCTATTGTATTCTACCTGAGCCAATCTACCAAGTGCTTCCGAGTACTTCTCTTCAAATCAGTGAGCATGAGATCTCGCATCGGCTAATACGAAGTAGTTGTATTCCATATGTTACATGCCAAGTGTTTTATGTAATATGTACTCTACTGTTATAAATCATTCTATTCCAACACTGTTACGCCTGCACATTCCGGAAAGACAATACTTCCTCGGACGCTGCCTTCCTCGACAACAATACTCCAAATCGCCGCTGGAGTGTCGTGAGTGAGATGCAGGAGAAGGATGCTGTCCCCATCCGATCCGCGAAGAGCAGATGAAGAGCGCTGAACCCGCTGCAAGGACATGCCTTCCCACTGCATGCCATTGCTGTTGGGAACGTTTGGTAGTTGCCACTCGGCTTGGAAAGTACCGGTTGCAATGTCCCAAGCTCGGACAACTCGGGCGTTGTCATGAAGAACGTATAGAATACCTTCAAAGTAGTGCATGGCTCCAATCTTTGGATCCTCCATATCCTCGTCCAATAGCTTTGTGTTGAGGAGACGCGATGCTCGTAGAGCTGGCCTGGAACCCTGGACGGCCTGGGTCAATCCGTTTGGTTCTGGCACTGAGAACTTTTGGATAGTGGCACTGGGTGCATTAGTCGTCCCTTGGAGTCCAGAAATGTAGAGTGAAGAGGTGCCTCCTTGTTGAACAAAGGCCATCCCTTCCGGTTCTGGAGTGGCCAGCTTCCATTGCCCGGAAATCTCAAAGTTTCCCAGCAGATTACGCTGAAACGAGTACACGACCGCAGCCATGTCCGGTGTTGCAGTTGCCACCTCAGAAACAGCATACAAGGTATTAGCGTCCACAAAAGTAGCCGATTCGAAGTCACCCCGTTCTACCCGAGCCACAACCGTGGCGGAAGAACCCTCTGGAATAGCCAGTTGACCTTGGTTGTTCCATTCAGGTAGCGGAAAGCCGTAAATCTCGGAAAGAGTCGGAACCAACAGCAAGTTGCGGTCTTCATCGATCAAAGCATCGCTAGGTTCAAACTCAAGAGGAGAAAAGGAGCTCACATCATGTTCCATGCATACCCCGGCCTCGGGTCGAAAGGCCAGCACTTCCGGCTCGGCGTCTCCATTATTCCGTGCTGCCAAATCAGCAAGTTCCAGTTGTCGGAGTTTGCTGAGAATGATCCATGTTCCAGCAATGGCTGCACCAGACAACACAATGGGCCCAAAATGGCTTGTGTATCCATAGGGACGCCCATGTTTCATGAGCCAAATGCGCAAATAGTAGAGCCCAAGTGAATACACAGCAATGATCAAGGCAAATACCAACAGAGTGATGGCAGTGGACTTGGCATAGCCTTCTCCATTTTCAAACTCGAGCAAGAGTGCCGAAGTAGTTACCAAGAACAGTGCAGCGCTCACCCACTGGATAAAAGTACGTTCATTGGCAAAGTACGTCTTTGGCTCCACTCGAACGGCATTCTTTGGAGCCGTCCAAGCAGCCTTGGTTCTT